GTCATAAAATAGTATGTGTACTAACTGTTTAATAAGAAACTATTTGTTCTGTAAATCTTGATCTAAAGTATAATAATTTAAAAAAATGGCTACAGCAGTACATCGACAGGAGACTGTCAGAAATTCAAGCCGGATACAGAAGAGGACTTGGAACAAGGGATATCATTGCTGATGTCAGATGGATCCTGGCTAAATGCAGAAAATATCAGAAAGATGTTTACTTGTGTTTTATTGACTATGCAAAAGCATTTGACTGTGTGGATCATAACAAATTATGGATAACATTGCAAAGAATGGGAATTTCAGACCACTTAACTATGCTCATGTGGAACCTGTACATAGACCAAGAGGCAGTGGTTCGAACAGAACAGTCATTTGAACAGAACAAGGGGATACTGCATGGTTTAAAATTAGGAAAGGTGTGGGTCAGTGTTGTATCCTTTCACCATACTTATTCAATCTATATGCTGAGCAAATAATCTGAGAAGTTGGACTATATGAAGATGAACACAGCATAAGGACTGGAGGAAGACTCATTAACAACCTGCGATATGCAGATGACAAAACCTTGCTTGCTGAAAGTGAAGAGGACTTGAGCACTTACTGATGAAGATCAAAGACCACATCCTTCAGTATGGATTACACCTCAACATAAAGAAAACAAAAATCCTCACAACTGGACCAATAAGCAACATCACAATAAATGGAGAACACACTGAAGTTGTCAAGGATTTCATTGTACTTGGATCCACAATTAACAATAGTCCAAGGAAGCAGCAGTCAAGAAATCAATTGATGTATTACATTGGACAAATTCTGCTGCAAAAGACATCTTTAAATTGTTAAAAAGCAAAGATGTCACTTTGAGGAGTAAGGTGCACCTGACCTAAGCCATGGTATTTTCAATTGCCTCATATACATGTGAAAGCTGGACAATGAATAAGGAAGAGTGATGAAGAATTGTGGCCTTTGAATTGTGGCCATTGGTGAAGAATAGTGAATGGACTGCCAAAAGAACAAACAAGTCTGTCTTGGAAGTACAGCCAGAATGCTCCTTAGAAGGCAGGATGGTGAGATTTTGTCTCATGTACTTTGAACATGTTATCAGGAGGGAGCAGTCCCTGGAGAAGGACATCATGCTTGGTAAAGTAGAAGGTCAGCGAAAAAGAGGAAGACCCTCAACGAGATGGACTGACCCAGTGGCTGCAACAATGGGCTCAAACACAGCAATGATTGTGAGGATGGTGCAGGACTGGGCAGTGTTTTGTTCTGTTTTACACAGGGTTGCTATGAGTTGGAACCGATTCGAGAGCACCTAACAACATAACATTAGCCCATAAAACTTCCATTTTAATGACGGTAGCTTCTAGTATTGTATGATAGCTAATAACAGCAAACATTTATTGAGTATGTACCATGCACCAAGCATTAAGCTAAAATTTTATGTGAATTATTTAATATAATCTTCACGTCACCCTTATGAGATAGGTATTATTCTTTTCCCTATTTACAGATGAGGAAATGGCGGCTTACAGAGGAAAAGTAATTTGTGTAACTGCTTATGTGTATTAGAGGCAGGATTCAACCAAATCCAAAGTCTTCCTCTTGACCATTATGTAATTTCTAGAAGGAATGGAATTAAGGGGTGGTGTTGTGGGGAAACCATTTAATGGCCTGCTATGTACAGGCACTGTACAGGCTTTCTATATACAGATTAGGGGCTGGCAAACTATAGTCTGGAGGTCAAATTCAGTCTGCTGGTCCAGGCAAATACAACCACGCCAGTGTGTTTACATATTGTCTATGGCTGCTTCTGCTGTCACAGAGACTACATGGTGTGCCAAGCAGAAAATATTTACTATCTGACTCTTTACAGAAAGTTTGCCAACCCTGTGTTAGATCACTGAATCCTTCTAGAGCTCTGTGGAAGAGGGATTATCCCAATTTTAGAGATGAGGAAACATAGGTTCAGAGAAGTTAAGCTGCTTGTTCTGGATCAGTGGTTCCCGGACATCTAAAATGTAAAAATTGCATTTTGTCCTAGAATTGCTTTTTTTTCTACCCAAGTTAGAGACATTGGGGGAAAAAAACCCAACGATATATATTCCTATTATTTCATAAAAGAAAAGACATTTAGTACCCAAGTATAGGGATGTATTCACAAACAATCCTTTAAATGGAGTAAATTAAATTGTATGAAAATTTTTCATTATTATTATTATTTTGCATTTTACTGGGGCAGATGAGAACGTAACCATGGTCCAGCACAAGTTCAAGAACTTGTCGCAACTGGGAGCCACTCCATAGGAACTTCAGTCAGTAAGTGGCAGAGCCAGAGGACAGCCAAGCCCATTTGATTCAAAGTGCATGACGGTCTATCTGCTTATCTACAGCATTTATTCTGCCATTAAGTAACCTTACTGAGCACCTTCTACAGGCCAGGTACCCTGGTCATGCCAGGGATAAGATGAATCTTTTTCCTCTATTTCTCTCTTGCCATCTCTCCTTTTCCTTTGGCTGTTTTGATTAAGACCAAAAACTCAATTCCATCACAATTCAGTTAACTGTTTTTCTCATTAGGATAGGTCGACCTGGTGGCAATTGGGGAAAGTGATCCAAATGAAAATACACAGTGATATTATAGGGTTCTCCTCCTTTTTTTTTTTTTTTTTTTTTTTGGGTAAGTGATGGCTCTAAAGGCATCCTGGCAAGAAATTAAATGATTCTTATCAAGCCACAGAGACTATGCTATTCAGAGCTCTGAGTGAAATATTTTGCACATATGTCTTCCCAGTTTCGAGGTTGTCCAGTAAGAGATCAGGCCACAGCCAGTGAGTATAAGCCCCACCTTCTATTGATTGCTATCATCATCTCTTTGATATCATGTTTCTAGAACTTGTCCTTCTATTACAATTAACTATCACAAATAACGCAGTCGAGCTCTTTAAAAACTACAAGCAAAAGTTAACTATGGTGACTATCAAGGCAGTTTAAATTTATATTCATATTTTTGAACAAATGAGAACATTCAAGCTCTTGCATTATATATAACTATGTAATAGCCCACATTCAAATATTTCTGATCTGAATTATTCTTCTATTTTTTTATTGCATTGATAAGAAGAGCAGTACAGGAAAGTTCCAATTATTCCACTGATATTAGACTAAATATTTAAAAATGATTAAATGAAACTTACTGTGTATTCTGATCCCAGATGTTCATTTGGAGAAGAGGGGAAAGAAAAAGAGACAAAATGATGATATAGACCACGCTTACACGCAGTATAAAAACCACAGAACTAACAAATACTGGTGAGTTACAGTTACTAAAAATGTGGTAAAGAAACCTTCCAATAATTAACCTTTCATAAAAACTGAATGTCTCCACATTTGCTCTTGAAACCCTTTCACATGATACTTCTGTGGTTGGTCAATTAAAGACAATAAGACAAGATTCAATTAGCCTATAAGTTTGTGGCTAATTAAAAACCAAAGCATTGGCATTATAAAAACAGAATTAAAGACTAATAGTTCCAGCGAAGCATTTAGTTAACCACAAAGGAAATAATTTTAAGTGGAAAAGCAGCTCTTATAACCAATAAGAGGAGTGTGCTACGATGATGTTGAAGTGGGATCTTAAATTTTATTGTGTTCGAGGGCAGGAACCAAACCTTTCTAATTTTTTGGACTCGGTTTCTAGTGAAATATTGAGTGCAGAGAGTTTATTATCACTCCTTTATAAGTGGGTGAGAAAGCAATCTTAAAGATCTTCCTACTTTCCAGTAGCAAAGGAAGTAGTTTGGGACAGAGAGAGCCAACAGAATGTTTTACACAAACTACGGTCAGGTTTTTTGGGGGGTAGGTGGGGACGTGAAACAAAAAGGTCAAAATAAACAACAAACCATAACCTCAAATATTACTTGGGGATTATTGAGGAAATGGGGAGAAATAAGGATAATGAAATCTCTAGAAATCCCACTGAAAAGGGCTTCATCTTCTTTCTCCATAAGGCATTTCCTCCAGTCCCTCCAAGAAGGAAGATGGAATAGCTTAACTTAACCCCTGCCACCCCCTGCCATCCCCGCATCACTGTTAGGAACAGGGTTGATGACCTAATGTATGAAGGCAACAGAAGAAGGAGATATTATGAGACTCCCACAAAACATTGCTTGGATACTGTGAGGATCAAGTCCTTTGGAGAAGCCAGGAGGCCAAGGTTTTCTCTGTTCCTCTCCCTGCTGGAATCTTCAGGCCACAGTATAAACCATCACCCCCACTGAGGTCTGACGTTTGTTAGCACAGTTAAAAAGATATAATTCTGGGCTAACCACCCCTCTCAAGAAGTCAGGGGGGCATGATGTGGTAGGATGTTTGTCAGCAGGGTTAAAAAGATACATTAGCCACTTAACCTGGGGGTATATTAACAGGTGGGAGAGGAAGTTTTCTTGGTCTCTTCAGCAATAGTGCAGGTGGAGCACACATAACATAAGCTTACAGTCTACCCAAGTGGCCTGGCCGGTGGAGACCAGCAGTAGGTATGGTCACATTTAAGTCCCTCACCCATGGCACAAAGTGGGGTGTACAAGGAAAAGTCATCATCTCTGCCCAGACAGCTTTTGAGAGGGGACCGCTCATGATGGAACTTTTCCTGTTGTATGCTGTCTGATTCTTGTAAGTAATAAAAGCTACTTTCCATGTGCTAGTGTGCGTTCAGCTCTGATGGGAAGGGCATGAGGTTTATGGAGCAATCCACATTAGTTACTGGTGCCCTTTTTCTAATGGCCTCTTGGCTATCTAGAAACTGGGTACAGCCTGTGAGTCCCACACAGATTTGGAGTGTTGTCCCACAGATAAATCAACCCATCCTAAATCAGTGAAACTCAACTTCTCCTATATCCTTGCATTCGATACATGTGACGTACTGGTTGTACTAAGGACTTACCTGTAATTGTGTAGGGATAATAGTTCCAAGCCTTCTCAGTAACATAAAATATTTTGGGGACAACAGCTCTAGCCCAACTAGGCAGTTTGCTAAGAAGAAAGGGGGCAAAAAAAAACAACAATTAGAGTCTGTTCAGAATCTCACTGTGCTACAACATCTGAAGAAAACAGGTGAGTTTGAAGGCATCTCTTCTCTCCATGGTCACCCCGCCCCCATCTCTCTGGTCTATAGATCCATAATCATTTTCTGTGCATATTCATGTGCTCTTAAAATGTGTATCATGGTTTGAATTTTGTCCCCCAAAAAATGTGTGTATCAATTTGGTTAGGCCAAGATTCCTGGTACTGTGTGATTTTCCTGTATGTTGTAAACCTGCCTCTATCATGTTAATGAGGGAGGATGGGTGGCAGTTGTGTTAGTAAGGCAGGACTCAATTTACAAGACTGGATTGTGTCCTGAGGCAATCTCTTGAGATATAAAAGACAGAAGTGAGCAGTGAGACAGGGGGACCTCATACCATCAAGAAAGCAGTGATGGGAGCAGAGCACGTCCTTTGGACTGGGGTCCCTGCGCAGAGAAGCTCCTAGTCCAGGGGAACACCGAAGAGAAGAAGGCCGACAGAGAGAAAAAGCCTTTACCTGGAGCTGATGCCCTGAATTTGGACTTTTAGCCTACTTTGACTGTGAGGAAATAAATTTCTCTTTGTTAAAACCATCCACTTGTGGTATTTCTGTTATGGCAGCACTAGACAACTAAGACAGAATTTGGTACCAAGAGAGTGGGGTGCTGCTCTAACAGATACCTAAAATGTGGAAGCGGTTTTAAAATTGTGGAAGCGGTTTTAAAATTGTGAATGGATAGACATGCAGCAGTGACAGAGGACCAGCAGCAGCAGAGAACCTACAGCAGCAGAGAAGCAGCAGCAGCAGAGAACCAACAGCAGCAGAACCAGGAGACCAGTGTGAGATGGCACTGGAGCCGACCCACGGAGCGAGAGAGCTGACTGCCTGTGCGACGGAGGCTTCCTGGCGGAGTGGGGTGCCTCTGGGCACTTATCGGTGGAGCTAGGTTTGTCGACCCACGGAGCAATGGAGCTGAGTGCCTGTGTGCAGGAGGCTTCCTGGTGGAGTGGGGTGCCTCCAGGCACTTATACCGGTGGAGCTACTGAGCTTTGGAACACTTGCCCCAGCAGGGCAGATGCTGGCGTGAGGCCCGAGGCCCGAGAGGCCATAGGAAGCAGAAGCTGAAGAGAGAAGGGACACAAGAAGCCGAGCTGCTTCAGTCTCAAAAGGTATGGCCATCACCAGGGGTTTCAAAGGGTGGAGCCATGGCCTCTGGTGTTTCTAAGGGTGTTGTCACTCAGATGGACTGGGAGAATGGTGCGCCTAAAGCCAAGGGAGCAGAGTTGCTGTCCCAGTGGGCCTGGAAGGCGGAGCTGAAGCCCAGGGCTGAGGGGCCTCCACTCAGAATCCAGAGACTGTGGCCAATACCTAGAGTCTGGAGGGCAGGGCCATTGTGTAAATTGTCTCAGAGAACAGAAGATTATTTTCAAAGCCTTGAGTGCTAATGTAATGTGTTCTGCTGACTTGCTTGGTGCCTGTTATCCCTTCTTTTTTTCTAGTTTCTCCCATTTGTAATGGAAATGTCTAGCTTGTGCCTGTTCTGCCATTGTACCTTTGCAGGCAGATAACTTGTATTCTAGATTTCACAGATAAAGAGGAATTTTTGGATTTTGGACTTGGAGTTAAGACTTTTGCTATGATATGATGGGGTGAATATGTTTTCCAGGTTGCAAGGATGTGATTTTTTGGGGGCCAAAGGGTGGAATGTCATGGTTTGAATTACGTACCCCCAAAAATGTGTGTATCAGTTTGGCTAGGCCATGATTCCTGGTACTGTGTGATTTTCCTGTATGTTGTAAACCTGCCTCTATGATGTTAATAAGGGAGGATGGGTGGCAGTTGTGTTAGTAAGGCAGGACTCAATTTATAAGACTGGATTGTGTCCTGAGGCAATCTCTTGAGATATAAAAGACAGAAGTGAGCAGTGAGACAGGGGGACCTCATACCATCAAGAAAGCAGTGCTGGGAGCTTTGGACTGGGGTCCCTGCGCAGAGAAGCTCCTAGTCCAGGGGAACACCAAAGAGAAGAAAGCCAACAGAGAGAAAAAGCCTTCCCCTGGAGCTGACGCCCTGAATTTGGACTTTTAGCCTACTTTGACTGTGAGGAAATAAATTTCTCTTCGTTAAAACCATCTACTTGTGGTATTTCTGTTATGGCAGCACTAGATGACTAAGACAGTGTAAAGGCAGAAGGTTATAGCCTGCTGTGGGGACCTCATAGGATTATAAGCCTGTCCTCTTGGATTTGATTTGAAAGAACCTGAGAATTCAGTGCCTGGGAAGTGCCATGTTGGGAGGGTTTGACCAGCTTGTCTTTGCCTTGGGCTCAGTCTCCTAGGAGTGGTACAGTGTAAGTGGTATGAAGGGATGTTTAAACCCAAATATGGGGGTCAGAAGCAAATGTTAGAGCCACACTTCAGCCTAACAATCCACACGAGTGGTGTCTGGAAAGTGGACAAAAACAACAGAGAGTAGCAACTTTACAGATATGAAGAGAAAATACAGCCTTTTGAAGACTGTAGTGGGTTGAACTGTGACTTCTCAAAAAGATATGTTCAAGTCCTAACCCCCAGTACCTGTGAACGTGACTTTATTTGGAAACAGGGTCTTTGCAGATGAAATTAAGTTAAGGAACTCTAGAGGGGATCATCTCGGATGAACCGGCAGGCCCTAAATCCAATGACTGATGTCCTTCTAAGAGAAAGAAGGGGAGATTTGACCCAGAGACACAGAAGGGAAGCCCATGTGAAGACAAAGGCAGAGATCGGAGTGATGTTTTTTATAAGCCAAGAAACATCAAGGGTTTTCGGCAACCACCAGAGTTTAGGAGAGAGATATGAAATGGATTCTCCCTCAGAGCCTTCGGAAGGAACCCACCCTGCTGACACCTTAATTTTGGACTTCTGGCCTCCAGAACAGTGACAGAATACTCAAGCCACCAAGTCTGTGGTAATTTGTTGTGGTAGCACTAGGAAACTAATACAATGACAGAACCCTTCCCCTGGAGCAGGAGCCTGGAAGCCATTTGCAGAAAACAAATCCTCACAACAAGGAAAACCCAACGGCACAGGTCCCAGATCTTTTGTAAACCAAGTACTAATTAAGTTTTGCTTTGTCTTGTTTTCCTTCAGCAGCAAATCCTACAGCATAGTCCCAGCCAGGAGAACTTCTTAAATATTATATTGAAATATATAATATTATATATTCCTTAATACACAGCTATATGATTTTATTTTCCCCAGTGCTATACCCTGGTGTGTTCTGTCTTCCCAGATGCTGCCATTTTGTTTCTTTCCCAAGCTGGCGCCTACAGCTAACTATCTGGGAAGTGGATGTGCAGTAGTACATCAGACCCAGAGAGGTGACGCACATTCTCAGCTCCTGGGGCTGCACTTTGGTGACAAGGAATATCAAGAAGCAGTTTTGAATTCCAAGCTGATTTAACCAAGAAAGGGGTGACACGAAGCTAACAGAACCCAAAATCCCAAGCCCCTCTTGGATGTGGAATTTAAATGATATTCAGAGCCAATAAAACACTGTGTTTCTTTGACGTCTTCTCAAACTGGTTCTCTTATTTCTGACAATATCCAGGCCCCGCTTTTTAAAAGACAAATATGTATTTTCAACGGCTGGCTGGACCTAACCCAAAGCCCTGGGCTGTTTATCATGGTTAAAAAAAATTGGGGAAATCAGAGCTCCCCCAAAGCTGGGTGTCAGATGAAGGTAGCTGCTCTCAGGTGGGCTGTGAGAAGCAAGCTGAAGCAGCTTGATAATTCACATAACAATTCTTCTTGCCGCTCTAATGCAGAGTGGCTCACGCCTATAAAATCATCTCTGCAGTAACTGCTCATTTACCTTATGTTCACACGCTCAAATGAACAGGGCTGCTCCCTGACAGGGATTTTTATAGCTTTTGCTGATGATTTATTCTATCACTCACCGAAGTTTGAGTGCAACTGGGGTTGACGTTGCTAGTGGGAAAATCACACTGGGCTTGCTTACGGGAAATGGTCATAAGCATTTTGCCCACCAGTTTGCCCCACGCCCCAGAGCAATATGCCAATGGATAGAGTCGAAAGACGTGGTGTCGACACATAAGCAAGCGCTTTTCTTGTGCTTTTTTCTTGTTTTACATTTTTATTATGAAAAATTTCAAATATAGTGAAACCGGTGAGAGCCAGAATTTGACGGGACCGCCTTGTTTTTCCAGATCTCGCAAGTTTTCCGCCTTTGACAGAGTGCAGTCCTACCACTTTTCTATTGCCCTCTATTAGTGGAAAATATTTGAGTTTTCCTTCTCTGAGAGGTTTCCACCTTACACAGGTTCTGGCCTTTGTAGGTTTTACTGTACATGCAAAAGTAGAGATAATACTATAATGAGCCCCAAGTAACCATCACCTCCTAGCTTCAATGGTTATCAACTTGGCCAACCTCCATCCCCTCCCAGCTCCACCCTGAATTCTATTTTTGTCTCCGCCGCTGGGTAAAACAAGACTTTTAATCATCTGAAATCAGCAAGCGCTAACAAGTTATCACAATGCCTTGCAATTCTTCAGCAATTTGCTTTTTTAAAAAAAAATTAGCCATTTTTAAGTGTAGAATTCAGTGACATTAATTACATTTACCACGTTGTGCTACCATCACCACTATCCACTGGTTTTCTTGTGCTTTTAATGGACTGAAATAGGGCTAGAAAATCTCTCCAAAGGAGTTGCTTAGCTTAGACAAAGTGGGTATATCTTCCTACAAGCTTTAGGGCCCATTTTCCACTCCCACTGGGAGGAGGGGTTCCACCCACATTGTCCCGCTCCCCGAATCCACTAGTTTCCTCATTTGCACTACTCTAGAGCCTGAGCTCCTCGTAATTCATTCCCTACATCATTTAAAAAGCCTCCCAGCCGAACCACATTCTTAAGCAACAGTCATTTTCTGGAAGAAAGATGCAAAAACACTGGCAACTTTCCACT